TTTATAGAGAAAACCATGTGGTGAGGCAGAGTTAAGGTGGAGAACATGGGAACTCACTTGGGTGAGCATGAGGTGGGAGAAAACTGGTCATCCAATGAGATTACAATCACCATTGCTCAGGTAAAATTGATTAAGTCCAGGACCAAATGGGGAAGCGAGTCACATAGCAAGTGGGCACAAATATTGAATAGAACTTTGTCCAGTAGCCAGGCGATAGCAGTTAGAATAGTAACTCTTTGTGGATTCCTTAGGGTGATGATCAATCCCAGATGCTAATCTTTAGGGAGGTAAGCATTTGTTTGATATTTGCTCTCTAGGTCTGGCCCACAGCAGGTACATCCATCCTTCTTACAGTTGTAAGATATCTTGCCTTCATTTTTTTCTCCTTGAGGGTCTGGCCCTGTCTGACTGCCTATAATATTTCTATCTAATTTAGCTGTCTACAACAACATGACACAGGCACCCACCTAGCAAGCACAAGTTCCTCAGTTTGATTCCCAGTACCTAAATACAACAAAACCAAACCAAGATTAAAGACAACAGGGTGGGCAATTTCTAGGGACATAAAACTATGTTTGAGAAGTCTCCAGACTTCCTTTACGTGTTTATCTTAATCACCTAGAAACAAATCCATCCTCCAGATGTAAAGATTCCAGAGCTACAGGACTGAGATAATGATAAACTGCACCCAGCTCACCAGCTAATCCCTAAAAGTGGGCCTCCTGCCTCAATGGGTAGGCCAGTATTGAAGTATGTCCCCACCAAAATTATTTATATATTTCTCATATACGTGAAACCATGTGATATTTAAGTTTGTGTTAAAGTCTCTGGCCAATAGAGAAATACAAATTAAAATAACTGAGATTTTATTTACTCCAGAAAGAAGGACTAGGGGCCGGGGAGATAGCTGAATAGAATAAGCGCTTGCCAGGCAAACACAATGGCCTGAGTTCAATCCCCGGTTCTGAAAAAAAAAAGAAAGAAAGAAATCTTCAGAAAGAAGGACTATCAAGAAATCAAATAATCAGAGGCCTGCCCCTTAGCTCAGTTCTTTATGTGGTTGCTTCAACAAAGCAGTCAGGCTCAGGTTGTTGTGGTTCAATCCCCAGAACTCAAGCCAGCCAAACCTGCCCTGAAGGCATTCGGAGCCAAAAAAAAAAATCCTTCAAGAAATCAAATAATCAAATAGTAACAAATACTGGTGATGTGTACAGGAAAAAAAAAGATATCAGCACTTGGGAGGCTGAGGCTGCAAATTTCAGTCCAGCCTGAGATACAAAGTGAGCTCAAGGTCAGCCTGAATTGCATAGCAAGACCCTATCTGAAAAAGACAAAACAAAAAGGAACCCTTCTTTATTACTGGTAGGAATGCAAACTACTACAACTGTTGTTTAGATAAAACAACATAGAGATAGATAAAAAATATAGGCAGTCAGACAGGACTGGGCCCTTGCATGAAGATAAGATACTTTACAAGTAGACAGACAGGCACCTGTACACTGGGACAGACCTCAAGACAAAAGATGAACACATGCAGCCACATATCTCCCTAGGGATGGACATCAAGGACTGATAGTCTAAATAGGTAGCAGTCACCTTGAAAAAGCCAGGAAGAGTCACTAAACCAACCCCCTCCAGGAAAATCTCCTGTTCTGTATTCATGTTCTGTATTCATATTCATGTTCAGGTGACTCCCTTCCTCATTTGATTCTGATTTAATTAATTTTACTTTAGCAATTGTGATTGTAATCTTACAGGTTGACCATAGCTTTGTTCCACTCCATACCCACCTCGGGAATTCCCATGTTTCCCACCTTAGATCTGCCTCATCTTGTGGATTTGCTCTATAAAAATCCTTACAAAAGGCAGGTTTCTTGGCAACCCACTCGGTTCCTCTTCTGTCCCTGTGTCAGACAGAAGCTTTCTTTCCCCCAATAAAGATTTTCTACTCTTAACCTCTAGTGTTCTTAAAATTAATTCTTTTATTTTAGAGAACATGAATTTGGCCTAGATATCTGGCCTGTTGGGAGCTTCTTTCCTGTATATCATAACCACTATGGGAAACACGTACACTCCTCAAAAAAACATAATTGAGTACCATAGACATATTATTTCCTCATCACAGAGAAAATAAGCACCTTACTACATATTTGTGTTTCTGAAAGACCAAGTTTAGGGATTATTATTATCACCATAACTTGGATGCTCATTAGAAATAAAAAAATATTGGATCCTACCCAGACCTACAGAATCAGAGACTCAGTGGTAGAGGCTTAGCAATCTGAGTTTTAGCAAGCACATCAGGTGATTTTGGAACACAGAAGTTCTGAAATAATGGGTGGTGGGGTCCAGGACATGCTTCTGAGTTCTTCTGTGATGAACAAAAAACTGGATGTGGCACAAGGAAAAAGCAATAAAGTTTGCTTAGGTGATAGTACGTTTAATGAGCAGGCTCATGCTTGTAACAGGAAAATGGCATAAGTGCTAAAGACATGGGATATAGGAGTTCAAAATGTTGGGATGCAGCTGGGGGAGATATCTTAGTAGTCTAAGCGCCTGCTTGGCAAGCACAGGACCCAGGTTTGATCCCTTGTACCACATGCCATACCAGGCGCACCGTGTAGGCCCCAAAACTGGGTGTGGTAGTGCACAACTATAATCTCAGTGCTGGGCAGGCTGAGATAGGAGAATTACTATGAGTCCGTGCTGTGTAGGGAGACCCTGTACCAAACAAATAAGTAAATAATTAAAAATAATAACAATAAATAAATAAACTGTTGGGTTGTTTTGGGTGCACCTCCTAGTGGAGTATGACTGACATGCACAGGGTGCTGTGTCTATTTTTATTTTATTTTATTTTGTGGCTGGATAGGCCAGCCCTAGGGGCAGGGCTGGCATGGCATGTGATGCTGGGGATCAAACTGTGGTCCCTGTGCTTGCCTAAGCAGTCACTTTAGACCACTGAGCTATCTCGCTGGCCCTGGTGCTATGTATATTGCATACGTCATTTCAAAATAATTTACCTTGCTATAATTGTATGCAATGAGAGGTAGTCTATATGCATGAATCTTCAATGAGCTAGGTGAAGAAAGATTAGTGCAGGTCATGTTGGAAGATCTGGTGTGTATGTGTCCTGGTTTGGAATTTTGAATTTTTCAGGACTGGCTTGTGGGGGTCTTTGCTTTTTTATCTGTCTCCATACAGTAAGCCTTTTGATAAAGGTGAGGGGCTTATCCTGGAGTGTTGCTCAGGTTTAGGTGAATGAAGGGAAGCATCTACATAGCTCCAACTGTATTATGTATAGTACTTTTATCTTGTATACCTAAGTTTGCCTTAGAAAGTAGTAATGCAATATCATTTTAAGGGTACTAGAAAATAAGACCACCAAAAAAATAGTGGTGTTTTATGCAGTTATAAACATACTCTTCATGTAAATGTGAACAGTACCATATGGAGTTGTGCAGTGTAGGTCTGCCAATAAAGACACTGTCCCTGTTTCTACAGCATCACCAGAGTGAACAAATGAAAATCAAGAACATAATACCACATGTCTTCTAGAACCTGACAATAATGCTCTGGAGCTGGCTCACACAGGCTGGAGTCAGTTGCATGCATTTCTTCCTGACTCTGCATTTAGTGAACAAAATCTACCATGGCAAGAGTATTTACATCATGGAAATTACAAGTACTAGGGCTGGGGAGATGGCTCAGTAGCATAAGTGCTTCCCTGGCAAGCGCAAGGGACTCAGTTCAATCCCTGGTTCCGCTTAAAAAAAAAAAAAAGAAATTACAAGTACTGCAAATCAAGGCTTTGTTTTGTCAGTGTCATATACTGAACCCAGGACCTCAGAAATGGTAGACAAGTACTCTACCACTGAGCAACATCCTAGCCCCCCTTTCTTTAAATTTTATTTTGTGATAAGATCTCACTAAATTGCTTTTGATTTTGCAATCCTCTTGTCTGGGCATCTTGAATAGCTCAGATTGTAGGCAGGAGCCCCACACCTAGAAGTTGCTTTGTTTTTTGAGCGTTTGTTTTGTTATTGTTACATACCTCTGCGGTAAAATTCACGTAAAATAGTACTTTGGAAGGGCCAGGCTTGGCAGTGTGTGCATGTGCTGCCAGCACTTCAGAGGCTAATGTAAGGCTGGGTTACATAGCAAATTCAAGGCCACCCCGGACTAATAGGCTGTGTGTCAAGACAACAGAAAAAGTTACTTAGAAGTTTTTCAGGAATGAGGGTATAATTCATTGGCAGAACACATGCTTAGCAGGTACAAGGCCCCTAGTTCAATCCTCAGAAGCACAAACACAAAAACCTTTTTTTTTTTTTTTAACTTTAGGGAAGGGTCTACAGGGTGTTCAGGGTCTACTAGATCGGACTCACAGTGATCCACCTGTTTACAGCTTCCCAAGAGCTGGGATTACAGGCGCGTACCACCATGCCCAGTCTCAATTTCCGGGTCAGCGTGCCCCGGGGGCGGGGCCGGCAAGGCAGGCTGGGGGATTGAACTCCGGGCCCCTGAGCGTGCCTAAACAGGCGCCTTAATCCGTTGGCGGCCGGCCCTTTATCAGATATCTTCTATGTAGTCCTGCTTCAGGATCTAAAGTGGTCACTGGATTAGGCCTGTGATTCATGGCAACAAAATCCTACCTAAAAGCGCAATTCCAGAAAGTCCACAGGTTGATTATAATTCCATAGTCGTCCGCCAAGGGGCGCAAAATATTTTCCCGCAGTTTAAACACACCCTTTCCGGTCTGCGCTCAAGTCTGTCAGCAACCTAAAAATTGGCGGAATCTAAGGGCTGAACACTTGCAGGCAGTCGAGCGGATTTGGGAAAAGAACACTTCCGGGCGGCGAGGAAGTGTTCTTTTCTTATCGCACGGGAAGTAGTTCTCTTTTGGGAAGGGCAGCCCTACGCTCCGATTGGCTAGGATAGCGCTAGGAGGCGGGCCTCAGTCAGGGTCACTCTCTTCCATTGGGTGTTGTGGCGGCGGCGGTTTGGAGTGAGGGTGGCACGTTGAGTGGAAGACTGTGTGGAAGGTTCCGGCGTGGAGCCTGGCAGAAATCTCATTTCTGGTGGAAATCCCGTGCTGTGTCCCTGAGGGATGGATCGAGTATGGAGTGCATGGTACGGAAAGTGTATCAAAGAAAAAAAACTGACACCACCATGGGCTCAGAGCATCATGGTCGCCTGGCTCAGCAGGGCTGAATGGGACCAGGTGACGGTCTATCTGTTCTGTGATGACCATAAACTGCAGCGGTATGCACTGAACCGTATCACGGTGTGGAGGAGCAGGTAAGATAGTGGCGGGGTTGGACCTTTCGGCTCCGTGCTGGTGTCTTTTCACCTCTTTGTGGAGTTCGTAAAAGGGCCTAGTCTAAGATCTCATTGCCCAGGGGAAAGTCTCAGGCAAGCTTTCGCAGGAATTCCGTTTGTGGATGAAAAGAGGTGTGTCTCAACGAGCCTCTTCTTGAATCTGAGGTCTAACCTTTGCTTCCAAAAAGTAACCTTTCTGCTTTCTTGTAGAGGGTGCTGGAAGGCCTGACTTAAAGTTTAACAAGTAGATTAACACCTTAAGGTGGATATCTGATTCGAGTTAGGGGGAGTGGGAAAAAGTCTTGCCCGCCCCCCAGCATGTTTGAGTTGGGTGCCTCAGTCCAGTTAACGTTGAGTTGACAACAGTCTTAAGGGGTATGGGGTTTGAGGGTTTCAAGGTGAAACGGGTGTGTGCACAAACTGTTCATTGACAGTCTAGCAAATAGATGTTTTGTATACTCTCTAGTCAGCCTCTTATGCCCTGGATTACTGTTGGATTTTATGGACATTACTTTGTCTCTTGCCTTTTTGTTTGGTATTTTCATGCACCCTTGAGACAGTGTATAGTGAGAATATCCTGCAGCAGCCAAGATTCTGAGGTAGAGAGGATGAATCAGTATAAAGGACTTTTGTGATGGTGCTGGATTGTGGCCCTTTAGGTTAGGCAACGAACTCCCCCTGGCAGTGGCTTCTACTGCTGACCTGATACGCTGTAAGCTCATGGATGTAACTGGTGGCTTGGGCACTGATGAACTTAGACTGCTCTATGGCATGGCATTGGTCAGGTAAGCTCTGCATGGTGGGGGGGTGGCTTTGGGAACTGGAGTGTGGTAAGCATGTGATAAGCAAAGCGTGACTTCAGGTGGTATCTGAAGCAGAAAAGTCTGAGTATGAGTCAGCCTGTGACTTGTTGAATTAACAGCTTTTGGTACTTCCATCAACATAATATTTTTCTTTCCTTTTCCTGGAATCCCCTCTTTTCCATTTTCCCTTCCTTTTAGAATGTATGTGTGGAAAAGTGAGGATGATTCAGACCAGGTGATCTTTATTTATACAACTTTAAAAAGTTATACAACTTTGGCAACCTTATTTCCCCTCTTACTCCTTAACCAGAGGAACTTGCCCATGGCTGTGATTTAGTTTGGGTTTCCCAACTTTATTCCATACATATAGCACTACCTTTTGCCATTTTCTCTCCTCCACAAACACTGAAAGTTTGCCAAGTTGTGAAAGAAGACATGGGCTGGGAGGTCCTCACTTACAAAGTGACTCAGTTGTTATAGCTGTCCCCATACACATCAGGAAAAAGATTGCTACTGAGTTTTCTCATACGTCAAAGCCTTTTCTCATCTCATACTGACCCAATGTCTGCCTTGAGATCCTCTTTTTCTCCTTTTACCTTTTCCATCATTTAACTGTGTTCCCCATGTAATCTAATATAGTCCTTTGTTCTACTTTAATAACATACTATATTCTAGTGTAACCTGTTATATCCTTATTTGTCTTAGGCTTGTCAAGCCAGAACAGTGTCTAATTTATCTGTATGACTTTAGTACAGGGTTTACTAGATAAGTGTTGGAGTGGATGGAACTATCCTTTCTCTGATTGACACCAACCATCAAAACAGGATAGTCAGTAGAAAGATTGTAAAAATGCAAGATTTCAGTAACTAGGTGTTTTGACCAAAACTGTCACTTAGGCTGTGCAACTTACTTCTCGCCCCATACTAGGTTTGTGAATCTTATCTCTGAAAGGAAGACAAAGTTTACCAAGCTCCCACTCAAGTTCCTGGCCCAGGAGGTATGTAAAATAAAATGGCCTTGCTCGATTCTTTCCAGAAAAGCTTCTTAAATGGGGAAAGAGGTAAGGTGTGCATACAGTCAGACTAGCTCATCCCATCACTACTATCTAAGACCAGCAAGGACCCCAGAGCTTTTGCTTTTACCTTAAAATTAGCAGATTTGTTCTCTTGTTCTTCATGACTTGCATCTCAGATGATTTGGTGAGCCTAGCTTGCTGTGAATGGCCTGGGAATGGTGCAGTGAAGCTGAAGAGCCTAGATGTAACTTTGTGTGGGGACAGGAAAGAGTGGCAGTCACATCACCCGCTGTTTGGGACCTGATTGTCTGGAAAAGGAGGTATCTTAGTTAAGGAACATGAAAATGCTAGGGATTCCTGTCCTGAATGAGAATCTAGTGTGAGGTTTAGATGGTAGATTTGTAATCCATCTAGAGAAGCTTACTGGAGGAGGTAGGGGAGGAAAAGACAGTTAAGGGGAGGCAGGAAGACAGAGGGCAGAAGGAGGCTAAAAAAGATGAATATTAAAGCTAATTCATACTCCCATTAGAGAGTGGTTGGTGGTTGGGGAAGGTGGATACCTTTTCTGACTTTTAAGATAACCTCTATGAAAGACTAAAAAATAATCAGATTTGGTTTTTATCTCTGTCCTGTCAATAGTGCTGGACTCTTTTCTCAGGACTTTGGTTTCTCTATTGGTAAAACAGAGAGAATGGTCAGACTAACTTATATTTGGTTCTCTTCCAGTTTTAATATTTTCTCATTTCTATGTTTACCTCCTCCCATCAGGTAAACATTCCAGATTGGATTGTTGAACTTCGTCATGAGTTGACACACAAGAAAATGCCCCATATAAATGACTGTCGCAGGGGTAAGTTCCCTAGGGTTATTCCTATTACAGGTAAGGCCTGGGCTGCATGGCATTTGGGGTAGTAGGGTAGGCAGGAGCTTACAACTTGAGTTCAGGGCAGGCGCTATCATGAAACTGGTGAGAGATTTGTCTTGAGTGCAAAATTTAAGGGGCTATCAAAGTTCAATGATCATGATTCATAACATTTTATTATGGAGAATTTTGTGATGAACAAAAGAAAAAAAGCAGATGAACATTACGGAATTTTTTTGTTTCAAGCTCACATATGGCTTGGTAGGGAGCTGTTCTGATCCTGTTGTGATACATTGATTAGAGTTTTTTATACTCCCTTTAAATTTTGCTCTTGGGGCCGGGGAGATGGCTCAGTGGAATAGGCGCTTCCCTGGCAAGCACAAGGGCCTGAGTTCAATCCCCGGTTCCGCCAAAAAAATAAAAATAAAAATAAATAAATAAATTTTGCTCCTAAGGTGGTCTCTCATTAGCCTCATCCTGGTAGGTGCAAGAAGAGTAAGTTGAGAGCTATGAACCATTAAAACTTATAACCCAAGAGTTGTTTTTTTTTTTTTAGATTAAAAGCAGAATATATTTATTGGAGGAAAGAAAGCTTCTGTTCGAGAGAGGGACTGGAGGGAGGCCCTAGTGAGTTATGCCACAAGAACCCTTAATTTAACCTTGCCTTTTGCAGTAGGAAAACTGAGGACCAGAGAGAGAATTGGCAAAGGCCATATCATAAACCAGTAGCACTGGGCCCTAGTTTTTCCACTTAGAACCTTTGTTTTATTTTTGGCATCTTATCTCTTAAGTCCTATACAAATTTTTTCTAGGAAAGGTTCTGGTAAATATGAGGAAGCAGAAAATGGGGATAACCTGGAGTGAGCGTGACTATCTGGCTACGCGAGATTTGAGTCTTGGAGCCAAGCCTCTTCCTTTGGGTTTTTTCCATAATGCTTACAAAATGAGGAGGTCCAGAGGGCCAAGGACGTGTTCACTGTTTGCCTGTGTGTGTTCCTATGGTGCTTCTTTCTTTCCTTACCTTTTTTAGGCTGCTACTTTGTCCTGGATTGGCTCCAGAAGACCTACTGGTGCCACCAACTGGAGAACAGCCTGAGAGACAGTTGGGAGTTGGAAGAGGACAGGATAGACATGGAAGAAGACCAAGAGGAAGATAAAAACATTAGTGTTGATAATGACATGGAACAGGGACCAGAGCCTGAGGACCATGGGAAAGGTACAGAGTTGGATGTCAAAGCTGATGGAGACAGTAAAGGCACTGAAGAGGTGGATTCTCATTGGGAAAAGGCTCTGCGACATAAGGAGTTATATGGTAGGTATCTATGGCAGGAAAGAGGGAACTATAAACCTGGAGTGTTTAGTCTAACGGTTAGTGTTGGTTATTGCCCTGGTTCAGCATCTCCTCTTTGGTGTTTTTTTGGCTTAAAAACCACCCTGTCAAGTTTCCATGGTATTGTGGTTACTATTACATTTGCTTTATAAGCCATCTTCCTTTGTCACTGAAGTATATGGGGAAGGAATTCTAGTGCTCAGTTTATGTCTCCTCGGATAAAAAGTGAGGGAGTCTCTTAGGAGATGCTGTAAGTTGGGTTGGCCATCCTGTCTATCTCCCCATTCTCTTTTCAGAAAGAGCTCGAGAATTGCTAGTTTCATATGAAGAGGAACAATTTAAGGTAAGTACCCTTGACCTGACATGTTCTCACTTGCTCCAGCCATTTCTTTTGCCAGCTACCTGAGAAGTTTTGAAAAGGAATTTGAAAGGACATTAACAAAGCATGAGGGAACTCCTCAGAAAGATGGGAGGGGGTACTAGGAAGGAGACAAGAGGAACAGAGTCCAATTGGAAGATCCTCCACTGATGGCAGGGAGCAGATGATGGAGTTTGTGGATAATTTGCCCATGGGTGATAGAGAACAACTGGGAATGGGTAGTTCCATAACCCTTCAATTCTACATCTGATGAGCAAGTGGGGGGAAAGACCTTCCCTAGATTAGGTGAGCTAGAGTAGTGCAGTTTTACTAGGGAGGTAGCTTAGAAACTCTTTAGTTTAGCTCTCTCCATTCACAAATGAAGAAATTGAAGCTACGGATGAGTGAGGGCACAGACCCAAGATCACATACATAGTCAGTTAAAGAACCAGGATAAGAACTTGGGTCCGCTGATAACATTTCATAACCCATTGTCTCCTCTTATTCTCACCTTTTGTCCCAAAGAGCTCTTTCCATCTCCAACTAAAAAGTTCTCATTGAACATCTTAGCATTGGCATATCTAATAATTGGAAGCCACAGGATATTCAGGGGAGGGACAGGCAGGAGGAGAAAAAGGTCTGTTATTTGAAGGGTTTGTTTTATTTTTGGTTGCAGGGCCAACAGGGGAGTTATGGGCCTACCCCTGCATGCCCCCAAAGGGCATCCCTAAGGTTCTATGGGAAGAGATTCTGGAGGGTTGGGAATGGGTTGTGTGGCTAACCCAGCCTTCTGATGAGACACTTTATACTGGCAGGTGCTGGAGAAATTTAAGCATTTACCTCAGGCCATTAAGGTGTGGAATAATCTATCTCCGCATTTAGAAAGCATCTTGGCAGAGATCAAGAGTATTGCTTGGGAGGACAGGTATGTAAGTAGGTAATGAAGTGGTGCCTGCTATTTAGGGAAGGGGGTAGTAGCCGTATTGAAATAGGTGTCCTTGTCCTATTTACCACCCTATGGTGTAGGAAACCCAGGATAATATTGGTCCCCCACATGGTGACCCTGTTTTCTGCATGACCTCCTGTCCTTGCCTCTGCCAGCTATCAGGTGGGAGTTACCTACTGTGAGTCAGTAGAATGGTTGCTGGTAGGAATATCTGTTGTCGTCCTTCCTAGTCATGTATCATCTGGCCAGGTTTTTTCCTGTCAGGAAGGATGAGACACTTGGCAAATAGGAAAAGCTCGTAATTCTTTGCACCTTGCTGCATAGCCATTGTCCCAAGTTTGAGGTAAAAGGTGTGTGGTAGGCACTGTTAATCTGTTCTTGGAAACTGCTGTTGTAGGCTGTGAGCATTCCTTGGTAGAAAGTAGGGACAGACATCGTGTTTTCTTAGTACCAGCTACTAGAGGTCAAGTTCTCTTAATATAGGCTGGGATGGACCTTAGACTTTTCTCTTTATTTTTAAGACAAGACTAGTGCTAAAGGTGTTTTTTCAGTCTCCCAGCCTAGATTTCTTAACCCTGCCCTTTAGCAAAGGGGTAGCTTGTGGTGAGAAAACTGTGCTTGCATACCTGCTTTGTAATTCCTGCCTGGTAGTGCTACACAAGCACCTGGTGGGCTGCTTGAAGTATTCTTAGATATTGACATGAGATTAACTATTTTCTTTTCTAATTTGATTCACTGCAGGAAGAAATCTGAGGATAGTCTCAACCCTTCAGGCACTGGATACTTTCAGAACTCTTTTTCTTCCTGTAGACATGATTAGCTAGGAAAGTCTTTTGGGAAGCTACTAGCTCTAGAGGAATCAGCTTACTGTTTCTGGTTTAGTTTTGAATTAGATGGGAAAGATAGATTACTCACATATTTTACTTCTTCAAACTCCCATTTTGTTTTGGGTTCTTGGAGTCCCTAGGAAAAAGGCCTGTGAAATATATCTGGGCCCAAAAATTGAGTCACCAAGATTTCTTCTAGGATCTAAAAGAGCAGCCATAGAGAGGTGGGGCAGTGTGGGGAACTTGTTAACGTTAGAAAAATACTGTAGAAACTAAAATCTGAAAGCTCTTGACCATGACCCTAGGCATTTAACTCTTCTGTGGACCTGAGATTTTCATTGCATCTGTCTTTTGAGGCATATTCAGCCACTGCTGCCCATATTTGGGGCTTTAGGCCAGCATATGCTTGGTAAATATATGTTAAAAACCTACTGATCTTATCCCCTGGCTCAGCCTCTGCTCCAGGAGGCTAAAGCCTAAGATCAACTGTCTCTTGTCCCATCTTCTGCAAGAATGCTTTGGCTACTTGAACCAGAGACATGAACTGCTTTGAGGATGGGTAGGGCAATAGGTGAGTCTTCTCTAAGGTCAAATTGCTAAACTAGTGTCTTTTTAATTTTTTTATTCTTTGTGGTACTAGTGATCAAGCTAGTGCTGATCACTGAGACAAACGTGAGCCCCTTCCTCAAGTCTTTTCAGCTTTAAATAACTAATAACCGAATTCAGTATATTTGGAGATGGCCTTTTTTGAAACAAAATCTTAGTATATTACTCAAGATGGCCCTGAACTCCTTTACTCAAAGCAATCCTCCTATCTCATCTTCCTGAGTAGCTGGGACTACAGCTGTTCATTACCATGTTTCACTAGTGTCCTCTTATTACAGGGCTGCTGTGCTGGATGCTTTTCTGGATGATGGCTTTCTCATTCCTACATCTGAGCAGATGGTAGCTTTGCAGATAGAGTATGAAGGTAGGGCCCTAGGGGCTCATTGAAGCCTTGGGGTTCTGTGTTTACTGGGTGGGAATACTGAAGGTGACCTGGGAGCTTGGGGTCAAGGGTAGAAACCCTTCAGCCCTTCTGGCTAAGTAGAACAACTAGCCTTATTGATATGCAGTTGTGGCCAATCCTTAGGTGGCTTGCAGTTGGGTGGGCTGTGGTGGGGTGGGCAGGGTTGGTGGAGTCTCAATGCTGTTATTGTGCTGTTTTTAATTGTGATTTAGCCTCTAGCTAGAGAGCTAGAAGAGCTGCACTGGAAAGGCCTTGTGAGGTCATGTAGTCCAACATCCTCATGTTACAGATGGGCATACTGAGGTCCAGAGAAGGGAAGGTACTGACCCAAAGTCACACAGTGAGTTATTGAAAAACGTTGAAGCTAGAACCAGAATTCTTTTTATTTTATACTTTATTTGAATCAGTTGTTGGCTGCTCAATACTAACTGGTTTCTCTTTCTCATGTGTTTTCTTTCCTCCTGTTCTGCGATGTCAATTCTATTGTTGGTGGGGCTTGTGTCCTGGTCTCTCTTCTCTTTTTCTCTATCCTTCCCTTAACCTTCCCTCCATCACAAAACAGAAAACATGGATTTGAATGACGTCTTGCTACCAAAGCCATTCTCTCAGTTCTGGCAACCACTGCTTAGGGGCCTGCACTCCCAGACCTTCACGCAGGCGCTGTTGGAGAGGATGTTCTCTGAGCTTCCAGCCTTAGGGAACACTGGAATCCGGCCCAGTTACATCCTTAGATGGACCATTGAACTGATCGTGGCCAACACTAAGTCTGGTGAGGGAGACTAGCCCTGGCCCCAGGGCCTAAGGCAGCCCAGGCTGGAGTTTTACTGCTATTCACAGCTCTCTGTTGAAAGACCTGAAGGGCTCAAGATTTAGGTATTGGCGAATTTCTGTAATCCCAGCACTCAAGATGGTGAGGTAGGAGTTCAAGGCCAGCCTAGGCTACAGAGTGAGTTTAGGCCAGCCTGAACTGCATAGAGAAACTCTGTCCCAAAAAAAGATCAATTAAGCCAAAGCAAAACAAAACCAACAAACAAAAACAGATTTTGGTTTGCTGGGGAGATCCCTGAGAGAGTCAATATCAAATCTCCCTTTTCTTATCAGAGCCAACTAAAATAGGGTGGGGCAAAGTACCCTGGACACTTTAAGCATTTGGGAAGTATGGGGTGGAATGGGGAAGGATAGGGCCAAACTCCTCAAGGCTTGGGTGGGATCTCAGTGGTTTCTTATCCTCAGGGCCTCTTTTCTCTCTTAGGACCAAATGCTCATCGATTCTCTGCAAGCCAGTGGGAAGCAAGAAGGAGCTGGAGGTTGTTCAACTGCTCTGCCTCCCTTGACTGGCCCCAGGTGGTTGAGTCCTGCTTGGGCTCACCTTGCTGGGCCAGCCCCCAACTCCTTCAGCTGTAAGTCTTTTCAATTGCATCTGGTAAGAGGGTGAGGCCCTGCAAGCTTCAGGGCCACACAGCCTTAGAATGGACCTTTCGAGGACATCTAGCTCAGTCTCCTACTAACAGATAGGAGAACAGAATCCAGAGGGGAGAGATAGGATATCCTCACCTGAGATCATACGGTTTCACACCTGGCTGATGTGAATCCAGCGTGAGAGTGCTTAGCACAGTGGCCTGCACAGAGTAAGTGTGTAATAAATGGTAGCTGCTGTTTATCATTGAACCCAGGTCTAATGACTCCAAGGCCAGTGCTGTCTATTATCTTCCCAAAGTACAGTTTTGATAATTGTCTAACAACCTTCAGCCAGCAGTTCCCTGTTGCCTTCTTGGTGAAGTTAAGAATTTGTAGCCTGATGTTCAAAAGTTTTTCTGATGCTGGCCCTACCTGTCATGGTAACCATACATCCCTTGTTTCCCCTTTTGCCCAGTTTGCCCTGAGTTCTATGATCAAACTGAATATTGCGCTGGTTCTTGTAAATACTTGTGGTTGTCTCCCTTTTCTTTTCTGTCATTTCCTGACCCCAAGCCACTTCCTGCATTCTCATGAACGCCTTCAGTTCCTAATTCTCATTCTGCTTTTCTGAAGTATTTCCTGTTTCAGTTGGGTGATCCATTTGACACTGCAGCACATCAACTCCAGTGACTTTCATTTTGTACTACTGTCAGCAATCCATTTCCATCACTCAGAGCTGTTGCACCTTTGAAAGCTGATGTCTGAGCATCCCACCTCTAGTCCTTCTAGTTCTCACCCTCACATCTCATGATACCTGCTCTTTGCCTGCATCTGGAGCCCCATCCCACCATCTCCCCTGTCCCTTGACCTTGATTCTGCTCAATCCTGTCTGATTGATTACTTTAGCCACTCATCAGCACCCTCAGCTCTATTCATCCTCTGACTGTATCTGACTTGTAAGTGCCCAAGCTGGGATTGGTCTTTACCACTCTGATTTCCCCCACGCCTCAGCTCGGGCAGCTGAGCACTGCTGGAGAAAACCACATTGCCCTGAGGATTGCTGCCACTGCAGAGGTATGATTTTTAATCTTGGGCTAGGCCTCAGTTCTGCTTGTCTGAACTTTTGCTTGTTTTCTGACCACTTTCTCTTTCATTCTCTGACTAATCTAAATCCTTACCACTCACCTGAAGCCCCTCCTTTCCTATTTCACCCTAGCTTCCTCGAGCACACGGAGGCATCCAACAGGGCTCCCTTGACCTGAGGTCCAGCCCTCGTGAACTGATCTGCAGTCAACCTTCTCGCCAATCTCAGGATGAGGTGGCCTTGCCCCTCCTCAAAGCCTGCTCCTCCTCGTATGCTCTGGAGCCACCTCTGCCAGTCTCACTGGGGTCTCATCCCAGGCTCTCCCTTGCTCTGCTGGCTTTTGCTCTTCAGTTTGAGTGTGTTGTGGTTTTCTCACTTTAAAACAACAGTAACAACAGCATAAGAAAAATCTGCTTTGACCGTACAGTTTTCTGTTAAGTTAATGTAAGCTTATTACGCCTTCCCCTCCCATCTCAATAGAGTAGTCCTCACTCAGGAGTCTCAATTTTCTGAGTACACTCTTACTCCTTAACCTGTTGCAATTTGGTGCTCAATCCCAGAGCTACTTTGACCTGATTACCAAATCCAGTTGAACTTTATTGGTCTCTGTGTCTGCTACACTGATGGTATTTACCACTCCCTCCTAGAAATGCCTGTATTTATTAATAGCTACTATAAAGAACAGAGGCCAAAGTTACTATGTAGCCCAGGCTTTTCCTCCACAGTTCAACTTCCTATATTCAACTGCATGCCCAACATCTCCACTTGGATGATTGACAGGCACCTTACTGTAAGCATTAGACAAACTGATCATCGGTGCTTCCCACCGAACTCCAAATGATCTTTTGCCCTATCTCACTTGGTGTTAGCGCCATCTACCCTTCCTATTGACTCCAGAGTACTTCTCAAATCTGAGACTTTGTGTTTCTATTCTCCTTACCCCAGTGTTTTCTTCCCCCTATCAGACTAAGTTTTTTTCAAGGGCAATGGCTGTGCATTAGCTCTCTGTACCTCGCACACCACACAAATCCAAACAGCCTCAGTAAATATAAACAAATTCAACTGTGTTGCTGTCTCATTGTCAGCGATATTGTCCTTGGTGGGAGCTGGCTCCATGATTGAGGAAGGAGTTGTGGAAATGGGATACCAAGATGCTTGGTCCTGACTACCTGTTGAATCCGGAAGCCTTTCTTGAGTCTTTATTTCATTTGGGGCACAGTAGTGTTTGTAAGATAAAAAATATGGCCTTGTAGACACAGCCAAAGGAAGACTTCTGGGAGAAGGGACTGAGCCAAACAGCCACATTGCCAGATATGCATACTCTAGAAGTGACACGGATGGGGGCGAGAAACTGGGAGGAGAAGCAAAAGGGCCTGGGAGAATCAGGAAGGCATTCAGATGAGGCATCTGAACAGTTCACGCAGGAAAAAGAATAAATTTCAAAGTTCAGAAGCAACATGACATGTCTGCACTGGGGATGGGGAATAAAAGGAGCAGCAGGGAGAGGTTTGGATAGGTGGCTTTCTAGGTACTTTCCAACTCTAAGTGCCTACAGAGTGGAAGCTGCTGGTGTCGGAGAAGTCTGGACCACAGAGATCTTCTCCCCACCCAAGCATACCAGAGGGATGCGACACATGCCAGCAGTAACAGCGGCTCTCTTGGGTATGATTCCTTGTGCACACATCCTGCATTCCAAGATAATCAACTATTTAGTGAACTTAGTCCTAACCACTTCGTTACACAGCGAAATAGAGGATATCCCCAGGTATTATGCTGCAAGTCAGAGCTGAAGCCAGGATCCAAACGTCTTGCCCTTAGTCCTCTGTTCTATAATGTTCCACTAGATTATACTGTCTCGGAAATTATTTGTTATTAGATGAATACAGAACTTGAATTTTGTTTTCCTCAGAAAAATAAAAGATACCACTGGCAATTAAGTGTCAGGCATGGTGCTGTGGTTTTTTGGGGGGAGTGAGTTATTTTACACTTGGCAAGTGGAGGTATGATATCCTTTGGCAGATAAGACACTAAGGTTCTGAAGAGTGAAGTGACAATGCCAAAGTCATATGGTTTGTTGACAGACAGGGATGAACCCTTGTCCCGAGTGCATATCTGCCTTCTTTTCACCATCCTGAACCTATCATCTCAGTCCTGAGCTGTGACCAGGCACACCCAAAAAAGCAGATATATTTTAGGACTCATTGTCACCTCTGCAAAGTGGCCAGACCAGATAGCCAGATAGCATACAGGCAGTAATAAACTGGTGATAAGGCATCTTCCAATATCAAGTGCCTGGGGATATTTATTATTAATCACACTAATGGACCCTAGTGAGGGGGCAGAGAGTTTCTCTCTAGCTTTTCCTCTAATGAAGTTGGAGGCTTTCTATGACCTTCCCTCAACCAGCCAGTATCAATTTATTTGAGCCCGTCACTTAGAATATGAAATTACCCCACAGAGAGGGTCTCCTCATCTCCATTTTGAGTCTGTCACCTTGCCTTGTCCCAAGATGTATAGTTAGGCAGTGAGAGAGAAAACAGGCCATTGGACATACGGTCCTTCTGTGAGCAAACACATGATTCACAATTAGTACAACTAGAAGGGCACGTGCTGGCCCTCCACTCAGCCCACACAGCCAGCAACGGCTGGGCTTGTTGGGTGCCAGGTTCTAACGTGAGGCTCCATGCAGCATGCTTGCCCTCTTCCTCCCCCTGTTCTGTGTCTGTTGGTTGTTGGTGATTTGCTGTTAGTACTGTCTGTTGTGTGCATGTCATCATCTTTAATTCTCTGCTCAACCCTTGCCACCAGTCACTAAGCCTTGTTCTTTGTCTGTTTGTCCTTCACAGCTTTTCCCTCCCATTTCTACTGCTAGTGCCCTAGGTCAGCCCTCACTGACTCTAGCCTGAAATGTCTAAATAGGCTTGTGCCTGGTCTCCCTGCCTCCAGGCTGCCATGCCCAGGCCATCTTCCATATGGGAATGCTCTGTGTGGTCACTGTGGCGGTCTTCAGCAATGCCCTTCACCCATCCTCAGGGTGACCTAACTCCTAATAACTACCCCCCAGACTTCAGCCATCATCCTTTGCTCCCATGGCTCTTCAGCATAGGCCTTGTCCTCTAGCCAGGCTACTGTATGGTGTGCTTGCTCTTGTCTCTGGGCCTCCTGGGCCTCAGCTCCAGCACAAAGCCCTCCATTGATTTCTTCTCCCTCCTGTGCTCTCTGCGTCTCCCCAGCTGCCTTAGTGCCTGCAGTAGGTCCACAGTGCCTATTGGGCCTCCTTTCTACATTCTGCTTTGCCTTGTCAATTGCTGTTTCCCCTCCTCTGTTCTGGACAGGTGTCTAGCTGCTCCTGTAGAAGTATCACACTACTTCCATGCCTACGGACCCCAGCACCCTTGAAGGCACATCCTTGGAGCTCAGTATAGAGTACAAAGCTAGGCTAGAGAAGAGGGTCTCTGCCATTCCCATTTCCAGCCTTTCAGGCCTATTGGATGGTTGTTATATTAATGTAGCATTTCAGTGCAGACTAATTGCTATCATTTATTGCATGCCCACTATGTGCCTGACACTGTGCCAGGCATTCTATATGAGTGTTCTCATGTATTCCAAGAACCCTAGAAGTTAGGTGTCAGTATTATCCTCATTTTACTGACATTGAAACTGAGGAACAGAGATGAATTGCAGAGATTGTTTAGAGTCCATGGCCATTTCGTTTCTGTGTTTTGTCTGCTCTACTGCCTTTCAGAGGCAGGCGTGAATGCTCAGGGACCAGTTCAAACTCTAGAATATTGGGGTATGAAGTGATTTGGAAGTTTGAATCTTTCCTACCCAATCCCTTCCTTTGCTCAGTGTCTTCAAAGCCATGGGACAGATCCTGCCTGATGGGGAACAGGAGAAATTGCTGCGCATCTGTTCCATTTATACTCAGAATGGATTAAACAACTTGAAGAAGGAGGGCTCAGAGGTCTCCCACGTTGAGAAGTCTCCATACACACTGGACAGCTTGTACTGGGGACTCAAGCCAGCTAGTTCCAACTGTGGGTCTGAAGGAAAGGCCCAGCAGCAGGGGGAGCAGGGTACCCCTAATGGTGGTAATGAAGAGGAGGAGAAAAAGACCCTGCAGGACCAGATGGAGGGAGAGGAGGAAGAGGAAGAAGATGACTTAGAAGAGGAAGATAAAGATGGTAATGAAGATGATGAGGATGATGATGAGGATGAGGAGGAGGAGGAGGAGGATGAGGATGATGAGGAAGAAGGAGGCAAAATGGATGTGGGGCCTTTCTGTGTTGTGCATGAGTCACCTACCATTGAGAATGCCAGGCTTCTGGCCCAGAAAAAAGGAGTTTTGGAGGGCTCTGCATGGCAAGTTAGCTCAGGTAAGTGTTCTTGATATTCACTTTTTCTCTTCATCAGTTTCTTGCCTGCCTGGATGGCTTTTGAGGCTTCTATTTGCTCTAGAAAGAGATGGAAAGTGGAAGCAAGTAGCCAGTGCCATGGCAAGCTGGTGAGGCAGCCAGTTACATGGTGACAAATGGTTTTGCTTATCCTCTTCATGGAGCATGTGAGGGCAGAGGTCCCTTATCAGGCTGGTACATGCAAAGAGTACATTCAAAGCAGTTGCTCAGAGTACAAGACAGACTAGAGATAGATCCCAGGCCATTGAGTCAGAGCAACTTTGAAGTGAGCTCAGATGGCAGAATGTATAGTACTATGGATTTTATGTATTCACAGAAGTACAAAAGATCCAGGAGAGGGTGCAGGGAATGGTAATGATAGAATTGTACCCTCATTTAGGTTGGGGATCAGGAGCCTCGAGTTAGGCAGACTCACAGAGATGGGCAGAATAGATTCATGTAAGTGTGATGGGTCGTGAGATGGAACCAGTGGGGAAGTAGTTGATGAGCTTATGGGGAGAGGTTATTTTGCTGTTGGATGGACAGGTGTGGGAGGGCTAAGAGGCATAAAGACCACAAATGGCAGTGTTAGGGATGAATGAGCACATTTATGTCTGGGTGTGTGTGTGTGTGCACATTTATGTTTGCTAGATAAACTGTATGACAGTCAGAAAAATGGCTTCAGACAAGGAAGGCTGTCTTTGGGGAATCTTTGTAAATAAAGAAAGGGACACTGGCACAGGCAGAATTGTATTGTAGAAGAGAAAAATAGGGGCAATGAAGTTACTGAGAAGCAGCTTGTAGCATAGCTGTGCTATGCACTTTTGGTTACATATGTTTTTGAAACAGTAGGCAGGGTCAGTAAGCCCCCAAAAGATTTTATGTCCCTGCTGTCTCTAAAGAGACATGTGTACGAGGGTTTTAGGCTAAAGAGGCAGAGACAATGAAGCGCACAGAGTTGGAGGTGTTAATAATGATGAGCATGGTTAATTTCTGTCAGAGACAATGAGTGGAGTGGCCCCTATGGTATCTCTGTATTGTAGGGGAATGCAGGATATTGCAAAGGTGCTTATAAGAAAGCTAGGGGAGGAGGGATGAAGAAGCAGAGAAATAACCCTTCCTTTATTTTTCCCTGTTCTGGAGATGGAATCCAGGGCTTTGGCATGCTAGGCAATTGCTCTACATAGTAGCTACACCTCTAGCCCATCTTCTTCATTGTATTTATGGAATATAGTATAATCATTTGACACATTACACAATTTTGGAACATGCCCTCTTTTTTTTTCCGGAACCGGGGATTGAACTCAGGCCCTTACACTTGCCAGGGAAGCACTTATTCCACTGAGCCATTTCCCTGTCCCTTGAGGGGCTTTTTTATGGGTTGTGAAAAAAGCTGGTCCATAATAAGGATGACAGAGACATTTGAATAAGAGGGGAATGTGCGAATCTAGAAACAGAATTGAAGGAACTTGGTCGTGAAGGTTGCTCTTATAAACAATGATGCATTTATGTAAGGATGAGGAGAAGCGATATGTAATAATACTGTGGGGAGTTTGTTTTTTTAGATAGATACTGTTATTTTTATTGCTTACCTTTTTCTTTTTTAAAGAGAATAAAAATAGTAAAAAAAAACCAGAAATGATAAAGAATTTCACTAAACAACATAATAGGAATTCTACAATGGCTGTTATATTGTATATTGTTGTCTTCAAATTAGTTGTTCAGATTATCAGGTATAAGCATGCAAAATTGGTAAAAAAAAGATATAAAAAATTAAAAAGGAGAAAAAAGTAAGCATTAACTGCTTCTTTCAGTAGAACAGCAGCTGAGTTCAATCCTCCGTTCCGCAAAAATATCATCATCATCATCATCATCATCGCCATCATCATCATCATCCATAGGCCCGCAGAAATCAACAGTACAGTTTTACAAGCTATCCTATATATGTATGTAAAGATATCTTTCTCCCTTCTTTCTTTTCTCTTTTCCCTCATCCCAGTTGTTCCTTGCCTTTGAACAGATTCTTTCCCTTTCACAGTATCTGTTGTACATTTCAGATTTTATTTACTCTTTCAGCTTCTCACACTAGTGAGACACTACAATGTTTGCACATGCTGGTCTGATTTAGATCACTGAACTTGAGTTTCTCTTTTTTTATATATTTATTTTCCATTTGTATTTCTGCATCTTGGAGTTTTAAAGTGATAAGACGGGAGCACAGGGAGTGTGTCATCGTTTGTCCTATGGCAGAATGTGTGTGTGTGTGTGTGTGTGTGTGTGTGTGTGTGTGTGTGTGTTGAGGGAAGGTAATAGGAGGTTAGGGTGTTAATCTTTTTCCCTCTTCTTGCCATTGTTCCTTTTGTGTGTGCATGCACGCATGTGTGTGCACACATGCAGGAAGATAGGGACAAGATTTCTTGTTTGTATGCCTGTGAATGAGAAGTGTCAAGAAGTGAAATGGAGGAGGCTGGGGAAATAGCTCAGTAGAATAAATGCTTGCCTGGCAAGCGCAAGGGCCTGAGTTCTGAAAAAAAAAAAAAGTGAAATGGAGAACATTCACTGAATAGAGGAATTGATATATGTGTGTTTCCAAGTATAGCCTGGGAGGCAATAGAGCTCTAGTGACGTATGTAAATATGCCTTTCCTTAAAGAAACAGTGTTCTTTGTGTGTGTATCTGGGTGCATGAAAACCTTGCTGTGAGAAGGGAGAACAGGTTACTTCTTTTTTTTTCTCCATAATTTTATTGAGAGACAAATAGCAATGAGACAGTTTCAAATCAAATTGGTAGGACAGTTTCAATAATTAACACATTGCATACATTCTTCCTAGTGGTTAATTGCTGTACAAGATGCAGACAAGATATCCTATTTTCAAACACTAAACACAAGTCCCTCTATTCATTAAGAGAATGCAACTATATATCTATCCTAACCATGTTGAATACACAGATACAAAATGGACATTCATCTGTATCCCCTTTTTTGATAAGTTCAGTTATTTGAATATTATGTGTGTTAACTCAGCAAAATATTCTAAAAGAGTCCGGTAGTGCATAATAGTATTGGGTCTTCCGCTTCACTGGTAATGTCAGAAATTATTGACCTGAGTCCCCTACAGCTCAACATAACATCATGGCTTTACTTCTTTTACTTCGTTTTTATACTTTTCTGCTGGATGGTTAAGACCAAGATAAAGCTGGACCTATACAACAAGAGTTGTAGCTTTTGGATCTGATAAGGTCAGTGAAATCCCCTCAGGATTTATCCTGAGATTGTGTACCTCAGATTGTAGATCCTTTGTCAGTGTCATCCATGTTGATGAGTAAGAACAGGTTACTTCTTCGATAGGTCCCATACTGAGATGAGGTTGCACTTCTCTATTCATAAGACGACTAAGAGCATTCAAATACATCAGAGTTGTATATATAAATGTGTAGGAAATAAGTCATTTTTATGTTCTGAGGTTTCTTTGGGTTTGGAGAGGGGATGCTGTAGGATTTCTAGGACTTTCAGGAGGGAATGGAGGATAGAGGTTCAGGCAGTGATATACTCAGATCTGAAAATGTTAGTGTCTATATGGAGGTATGTCTGGGAAAATGGGGGGAAGAAGATAGGAACAAAGGTATTTGTAGGGCCAGGGAGATAGCTTATCAGCTTAAGTGCCTGCTTGACAAACTCAAGGTCATGAGTTCAATCCTTAGTACTGAGAAAAAAAAACGAAAAGCAACCCACAGAAATATTTGTAGCTCTGTGCTTGTGTGCATGAACACATAGGAAGAAGGGCCATAAAAGTGTATGGTGGGATGCTATGGCAGAGAGATGCTCATGAGAAGTGAGTAGAGTGAAGTTGAGGGTACACAGAGACTGTATTGAATGGGCTGATGGGCTGGGTAGATGGACAGCATTGGTGGGCCTCTGCACTGATTAGATAACCAACTCATCAGCTTATTCTTTCCACCTCTGTTTCCTCTTCAGAAGATGTGCGGTGGGGCACATTCCCCTTAGGCCGCATGCCAGGTCAGACGGAGGACCCAGCAGAGCTTATGTTGGAGAATTATGACACCATGTATCTTTTCGATCAGCCTGTGCTAGAGCAGCGGCTGGAACCCCCATTGTCCAAGACTAGGTGAGTGCCCCTGGCAACAGAATTTCTCAGCAGTAGTCTACCACTTGTGGGAGGAAGGGAAGGAGACAAAGTGGGGTGGGTCCTTACACAACTATCCTTAGAGCTAGTAAAGTAGCTATGTAGAGCTGTTTGGCACCCCTTGCAGTTTGTGTTCAGTTCATGTGTGTGTAGCTTTGTGTTTGCATGCACATATGCATCTGCATTTTGGGAGGGAGAGGAGTCCATACCTTTCAATGAATTCTCTAAATTGTCCACCATTGCTAAAAGGTCAAGAACAGATGTTCTAACTGAGCTTCCTTCTATTCCTGATAAGTAAACTGGGACCCAGAACAGGAAGGAATTTGTCCAAAGGTATATAGAATGATCGGTTGGCTGCCTGCACTATCATATGATCTTAGTAGCAAGACCTGCACAGGGTTCTGTGGTTTCTCTCAAAATTTACTTTTGGATTGTAAGCATGCAAGACGTTGGGTCATTAGGGAGCCAGGAACTAGCAGCCCTTATTGAAGGGCAAACTCAAAGGAGCCTGGCCAGAGGCCTGTATATTCCAGAATACTTGGTTATTGTGACCAGGAGAATCCTGTGCATATCAGAGAGAGACCCCTGCAGGCCCCTGAAATTGAGAGCCATTTCTGTGGTGTTTGCCTGTTTCCTAAGAGACAATCCCCTTTTTTGTGAGTATTCTTGGAGAAGGTGCTAAAACCCAAGTGATCTATAAGCAGGCCAGGCCTAAGGCAAAGCTGTGGACTCTATCCAAGACTAGGGAACATCAGGCCTCTTAGGAGCTAGCCAGTTTGCAATGAGATTCACATGTCTAAAAACTCTTCTTGTCAGGCCCCACTGGCTAGGCCTTGTGTAGAGCTGACTTGATGAGTACCAGTTTATTAAGGGTGAAGTGTGGGCCGCTAAAGCTGTTATATCAAGAAGGAAGCTCATTTGACTCATGCCCTAGACCACCTATAGTAAGGAGGCTTCCTCTGCTGGAGCAGAGCATGCTCACTCCTTGTCTCAGCTCCACCCTTGACTTGCCTGTGTAGCCTTGGGGAAGTCTTTTCTTATATCTAGTCCTCAATTTTTTTGTCTGCAAAATTGTGGGTGATGGGAGTGGATAGGACTAGATCATCTCAAAGGGTTTTTTTCTTTCTTTTTTTTGTGGTATCGGGCATTGAACTCAGGACCCTGTGCTTGCCAGGCAAGTGCTTATTCTACTGAGCTATCTCCCTGGCCCTCAAAGGGTTTTTTCAGCTGCAGGAGTATAACCATGGATCTGCTGGAGGGGAGTGATGATAGCTTTGTGCTCATCTGTTACCTCATCCAGGTGGAAGAACCTTTGTTCTGCAGGAAGCAAAAGTATTCTGATCTGGGTGAGAGAGAAGAGGCCATTTTGCTCCCTTAAGCAGTCTTAGAAATTTTGGGATGGGAGATGGGCCTATCCCTACAGAGAAAATCTGGCTTTGGGCCCCCCTTACCTATGGATTAGATGTGGGAGGGATCCAGTCCAGAGTTTTCTGGGCCTACAAGCTTGGAAAGAAGCCCTGTAAAGGCAACCATTTTCAGTGTCTTCCTCAAGGTGGGACCCCTCTTTTACCTCAACTCAAACAGTTCTGCATGTATTTTTCTGTACCGGAGCTTTGTATAATGCTTCATTTGAACAGTTCCATATTTCCTTTCCTTCCTTCATCATCTAGGGGAGGCTGGGACCCTACCTGAAATTGCTTCTCAGATTTGTTGCAGTCTCTATAAAACTAGACAGGAGAGAGTAAGCCCTTCCCACAGACACACACACATCTCAGGTACTTTTAGTTAGTCTAGATACTAAAGCTGCATCCTTCCCTGACTGACTTCCCACTCTCTCCACAGTACTCTGGGCCTAACTTGTGGTATCGGCAGTGGCAACTGCAGCAATAGCAGCAGCACCTTGGATGGCCTTCTCTGGAGCCAGGGGCAGATGCATGGGCTTAAAACTGGCCTGCAGCTATTCTGATGCCTGCCTTAATGGAAGTGTTCATTCCTGCCAGAGCAACAGCCCACCCCAGTGAGCACCTGATCTTCCATGATACAGTCTGGGAAACAGCCTAGATCAGCCACATCAATGCAGCTTTCCACTACAATAGAATGTGGAAGACCTTTTCCTTTTGTTTTCTTTTTTGTTTTGTTTTGAAAAAAAAATAAATAAGAAACTGTAGTTTTGATATTTGTGAGATAAGGTTATGTATATATATAACAGGCAGATTAGTAAAGTTCTTCCTTTAGGGACTCCAGAGAAGTTTGGATAATAAGGCTTTCAACAGGAGCTGAGTACTGAGGCCCCGTGGGCCCACTGGCTCTGATTGCCCCCATAGCCAGATTCTGCCCGTATCTTTACTGGTTCCTCAAACCATTTCCTCAGCCCTCGCTTATAGTTTGGAGCCAGTTCACTTGGAAGCACAAGCCCTAGTGGAAAGGCATTGCTTGTCATACTCTAGCTCACAACTGTGCTGTATTTATTGGAGGTGGGTTGCTCAGAGCCTTCCTCATAGTGGGAAGAAGACTCGAGTTTCCCTGTTTATTTCCTCTCCTGCCCTCAGTGGATACCAAACAATAGTTGAAAGCCAGAGATATACCTTTCTTTGTCTCTTCTCTTTTGCCATAGAAGAAACAGTGGACTTTCGCTGCAGCAGACATTAGAGCCAGAAAACTGTGTTAGGGCTGACACAGAGCCATTTGTTTGTTGTCACTTAATCCCTACAGGCACTCTTAACCTCATAGTGCCTACCCTATGTCATCCCTAAACTACTGAGAGATTCATAATAAATAAGCCATGTTTTCACCCTCAGTGTTTTCAGCCTGGTGAGGAAAGACAAATTTACTGAGTAATAACCTGTTACCTCTGCTAAGTGCCTGCCAGAGTTCCTCTAGATCATTGTGCAAAGAAATCGTGGAGAAGACTTGTTACAAAAGCACTAAGCAAAAATTTGGTGCAAGTGCTGTGCCAAAGCCCAATCAAGGGGTTTTTGTTTTGGGGTGCTGCGGATTGAACATAGAGCTTGTATGTATTAGTGATATACTCTATTACTGAGCTTCTCCCCTGGCAGTCTAATCAAGGATGTCAGCATGAGTTAGGCTCTAGGGAGTCAATAAAAGCCTGAAAGGATATACTGAATACCTTGGCAGTTATGTATATGTACATTATCATTTCTCTAGGGAGCTGGTCCATAGCTTTTATTATTGTCAAAGGGTTAATATGATCTAACCAGCTCAAAAGGGTTAATATTACTTTTCTCATATGGACCCAAACATTAGACATAGGCAAAGCAGTTTTCTGTACTGGTTAACACGAAGTAAGTTTCTCTCTAACTTTTCTCTCCCCTCACAATGGGAAAGGCTAAAATTTTCTCAACATACTGGAATGTCAGCTGGAAGAGTCCTCAAAGGATGTAGACCCTCTGCTAAAGGTACTTGAAAATATGGGCTTTGGTTAGGTATTCCAGCACCTGGGGAGATGGGTGCGACAAGTTCTTGGGTCCTTTGCACCCTTTCACCAGAGCAGCCCTGACTATTGTGCATGTATTGGGATCCTATGTATGATTTCTTTTGAGATGTGGAGTTTGACGTTAAAATAAGGTTTGAAAAATAAGTTTTTGTCTTGCTCTCTTGTTTGAAATGCATTGAGACCCAGAAGCAGACAAAAAGGGGAGGAATTTGCCCATAGCCACAGCGATTATTAGGTTGGAGTACATCTGTTTTCTTGCAACATCAGCATCACTTGAGTTCCTGTTAGGAAATCAAATTTTTGAACCCCATCAGACTTTTTGAATCAGAAAGGATGGGCAGCAGTCTGGTTTAATACACCCTTTTTGATTTTGATGCACACCAAAAGTTCAAAATGCAGTGGTAGAAGTTGCCCAAAACCTGAGTTCCAAGCAAGTTCCACCTCGTAATGGGAACAAGTTTGAGCAAGTCATGCCATATTTTTTTAATGTATTTAGTACAGGGTCTACAGGGTCTCAGTACACAGATGGGACTCCTAGTGATCCTGCTGTTTGCAGCCTGCCAAGTGCTGGGATTATAGGCATGTACCACCATGCCCAGTCTCAGTTGCTGTCTCAGAGTGCCCTGGGGGTGGAGCTGGCATGTCGTGGCACACAGGGGTTGAACTCTAGCTTCTCTGCTCTGCCTAAGAGGTGTTTTAATCCACTAAGCTATCTGGCCGGCCCTATGCCATATTTTTTCATCTGTAGAAGGATACTATTTGTATTACACAGTGTAAGGATAGAAACATAATAGGTTTAAAAGTGCTGTCTAAAGCATCAGATATTTTATATTTGTAAGTGGCAAGGATTCTTTCTAGTATTGTTGAGTTCTGAATTGAAGACTCAGGTCTCTATATAATTCACAATGTTGCTTTTTCCTGGGCCTCAAAGACTGACCAGAAAGAAGGAGCATATTACTTGAACTCATTTCTAGTGCAGAATTGGAGAAAGTAAGAGCCTAGGGTCATTATTATCTGGATTCCTGAAACCTAGGAACTGTGAGGTCAGATCCAAGCATTTCAGATGGCAGGAGCAGAAGCAGGTATGCTGTTACTAGGAAGTGACTAATTCTCTTGGACCTTTTTCTTATTAGAGATCAGTGACTGAGTAGAAGTCTTTTGAACTACATTTAACTGGGAGGCAGTGAGGAGAGGGGACATGAGAAGGGAACATAAACTGTTGAACAGTAGTTAATTGAGACCCTTGTCTGACAGGACATATTTCATCAGAATTGACTGCCAAAAAATGACAATAAAATGGTAAGTGCTAAGTAAGAAAGGTATTGTCCAAGAATCCTGTCAGGCCCACTGTGCGGACCAACTAAATGTCTGGACTACTAGTTGGAACTGTTTCTTAGGTGAAGTGACATCAGTACTGAATCTTGAAAAGCAAGACTTTAATAATCAGAGCAAGGAGTAAAAGGAAAGTTAAATTCTGAAGAACATGATTGGGAGCATCAGAGTAATTTCCATGATAACAGGAATATGGTGATGCAACTGTGTAGTTAAGTTATGAAGCCAGAGAGGTGAGCTGGAACAGTGCTATTGCCAGACCAGCTAAATTTTCATCTATGATTGGGGAAAAAGCATTGAATATTTACTTGTTTCCTCTTAGAATTCTAATTGTTCTTACCATTATCCCTATGCCCATGTTGCCATTGTCTTTGAAGAAATCTTAACGTTTTTATTCTGTCTGTTTCATTTGGGCCAGGGTTATAACCCAGTGGCACAAGTGTGTGCATGTGCATGTGCATGTGCACGTAAACACACACACACACACACACACACACACACACACACACACACGCTTCATTCTGTTCATTCTGCCACTCGAGGGCAAGTTCCCCCAAACAGGATCTGTTTTAGTCTAGTGAAAGCCAGGCACTGATTTGGTACCCAGAACTTGATACAGATATACCTGAGGAATGTGAGAGGAGGGAGCAAGAGAAAAGACAGAAAAGGAAAATGATAGGAAGAAATGAATACTCAGTCCCATGGAGGATGACTTAAAAAAAACTCTGAAGTTAACAAACTGTCCCTTCCAAAGGTTCTTAGGGCTGGACTTTACTGCAGCCACTGTGGCCACCTCTGTTTTAGAGTGAGACTGGTTTGGAATGGTGTGAGGAACACGTAGGAGGCTCCAGAGAGGGCTAAGAGAAGAGTGGACAACATGATGATAAATAAAGGATGTATTGGTCTGGGAGTTACAAGGCCTGGCCTTCCAGTGCTTCTGTTGCTACTAATTCTGTTGGGCCTTGGTCAGATCCCTTGAGCACTCATACCAGAGCTTCATTTCCTGCAAAATAACCTGAAAAAGGAACATGGCATAGGATGTTCTGCTGGCCCTGATATTCTGTCGTAGGTTCACAGATGATATCTTTGCGGCCTTGAGACTGTGGGGAGAAACTACAGCTTATGTATGTAAATAAGCAGGGCTGAATCTGCCATCTCATTTTGTCCCACCCATGGAAGCAGGCACTGCCTTATAGAAAAAAAAACTTGGTTGCATTTACTTAGTATACTATTAGTCTAGAAGTTATCTTAGTCCTCAAAACTTAGAGAATGTAGACGTACTGTGATAACATTCAGATGAACTCACTTGGGATGGGGCTCGCTTATCTCAAGATGCAAGTTAGTAGGACAGAAATGTAATGTTTTAGGAATAAAGTGAAATGTGTGTGCATGTTTGTATAGTATTGTTTTTGTTCTTAAAGAAAGAGTCATCAATACTTAGTAAACAAATAGTTTATGCAATAAAGTGTGGTTACAGTTCATTTTTGTCAACAATACAGCATTTCCATTATGATTATAGGTGAAACAAAACCTTATTAAATAGTCATAGCACATTCATACTAGAGAACATATTACAAAGCATTGCACATGCATTTTGGGGGCAGATGAAGCTAGGGAAAAGATACATTTTTCACTCACCTCTGGTTGGCTTTGTGTATTTTGTCATTGAGACTTACATTATGTTTGGGTCAAACAAGAAACCCAAAGAGGTTTTGTAAAAGTTTACAACCATTAAACGGTATTGTTTAATCCCACAAATGGATAAAGCAAACTACTATAGCTCAATGATACACAAACCAGGACTAAAAATAGTCAATATGCCTATGTATATAGCTAGCTATAATACAGTAGATATTGAATATGCCGAGTCTTTGCAAAGGCATTGACTACTTTAGACAAGCAGATACCAAAAATACTGGTTTGGTTTCCAATGAAAACTAACTGTAGTGCTATTTCAATTGAAGACTATACTCCCCAGTATGAGACCTGAGGAGAAGCAAACTAGGGGAAGGCAGAAAAAGGTTAGGAGACCTGAGCAGGGCTCTTTGGACATTTCAGCATTACTTTTCCCTGTGCAAATCCAGACCTGGTTCACAGAATAAAACAGTATGTATTGAAATTGTAGGCCCACCATAAGGGCATTTGTACGAAGTCCCTTAGTTACAGCATAAATAGAATAATACCTGGCTGCCTCTCAAAATGAATGAAAGAAATGAATTTTCTTCTTCCATGGTAGAAGAAAACTCAGTGATAAAGATTTATGGATACCAAGATTAAATTACTGTATAAAGATCATTTACTCCAAAATAGAAAAAATGAATTTAAGAGGAATATTCTAGAAACTCGCATGGGGCAGGTAGGGGGAAACAGAGAGGAGAAAATCATGCTATGTATTTCTTGTTTAGAAGAGGAAAAGTTTCATAGATCATTTCTGTAAGGCATCTGTCATATTTGCCATTCTCTGGTCTATACCTGGCACTGTAAGAGAGTGCAGTGGTTTGATGTTACCTTTGAAAAGCCTTTCCTGTTCTGTGAGCTGCTTTATAGATAGGGTTCCCTGGATTGACTGTGCCATATGAGGGTCCCATTTTTCCTTTATGTCAAAATGAAAACAGAGTCACACACAAAAAAACCACAGAACTATAAAATCTAAGGCCTTAATAGGCAAGGACTTACTATGAGGTCAGAAAATCAGTGGAAGAATTAAAATTACAAAGCACCTCTTACAAAATGTACTGTTTCTTGAAACCACACAAAATACTGTGCAGTAACTGTGCTGAGTGCTTAGAGGCAAATATCCTGAAGGACACATGCTAAACTTCATGAAGGAAGCTTGATTTTATTATTAAGGGAGCCAAGGAAATCCCAATGCTCTTTGTTATTTGCTGTTTTATAATTGTAGACAAAATGCAAAGGAAGAATGCAGATCTCAATATAAAGAATATGTCTCTCTAATATCTAAGAAACAAACTGGATTTATGTATCCATAGTTATATAGCTGTATTATAGATTCTTGCAGATGATTCATTAACACATTTTAAAAACCTAAAACCTCTATTATAAGGACATATTAAATCTAATAGGCTAACAAAAACATATGCAGTACTTGAAATTGTACACACAATACCTGTATGCTTAATAGTAAAGAGGCCTTGAGAAATTATCTTTAATTATAAACCAGCACTGCCCTTTGGAAATAAAAGCTCCCTCATAATCCCTGGGCTACTTCTCTGTGACCTTGTGACACACAGTGCCACAAACATCATGGAGAAAATTCAATACCAAACCTAGTTTAAGGTGAGTTTTGTACATTTATTTCTATACAATCAGGAAAAAAAGATACAATTTGTATCAACAAAAGGTCATTTCTGGTTATTTGAGGCATTGCTCCTAGCTACTTTGGTTTGTACACATTTTATGAGAAAAGAATGATAATTTGTTTTAGAAAAGAAAAGATACATGTAGTGTGCTACTAATATTTCCTGTAAGGGAAAGCTCACAGTTATTTTGAGTACTAAGTATGATTATATTCAAGATGAATTGCAGACAGTATTAATCTTGTGCTTTCCTATAAATTGTGCAATGAATGGATACTGCAGTGTCGTCACTCATTGATGATTTTGGTAGGAAGATTAGGTTTTCGAAAACCATGATCTTGACATGAGACAATTTAAAAGCTCCAAGACATTGAAGGTATGAAGAAGTGTTTTATGAAAAAGTAAGAACTGCAGTGGCAGTTATCACTCTCTGTGGATCAACCTGATAAAAACATTATTTTTACACTCCATCAATATGCTGGAGAATGAGATGATTAGAGGTTAGGAGATGAATGGGAAGCTACAGTTGAATGAAGAGAAACACTAGTTAAGATGCAGTATTGATCAACTAAGAGCCAGAAAGCAGCATGCAAGCCATTATCAAACCCCAGAAATAACCTTGACTACAGCCTCACATTCAGAGTGTTTCACAGTAAGAAACATTTATAGGCAGTGTCACACCTTCTCATGAAGAAACAAAAGGCCAAAGCCAGGCCCTCTCAACTTTCATGAAAAAAACCATTAAAGTTACCAAGTGCCAACTCAATACATAGTGAGCTGGGCATGGTCCAAAATGTTTTAAGTATATAATGGATTCAAAAAAGGGGTTCATTCAGTGCAACTTAACACATCAATAAACACCACTTCTAGAGACATTTAGCTACAAAGCTACAAAGGTTCCCACCCTGAGCAAGATACAAATTGCGCAAATAGTGCCACCCAACCCAAAAGTCATGCCTTCTCGAGTAATGTATCTAAGAATTATCTAATAGCAAGTGCACTCTGAATAGATTTGAAGTGCGTAACTGAGCCAGCAAAGATGCAACATTTCCTTTTGGAATCTGCCTTTCTTCCACCTAGAAAATCCCCTGGTTTTATTTCCTAAAGAAATTCTGCTTTAGCAATGATTGACCTTATTGCCCAAAGGGTGTACAGCAGGAGAAAGCCGATTACATGGCTATACACTGTCCTCCATTATATTTTATCCTATGATGCTTAATACTGCATAGGTCAGAAGTCCAAAAAGCATCCATTAGTCACTCCTTGTGTGAAGCTTTTGTATTTTCATACATTTTCATGTAGGCTTGGCCATCTTTCCTGGGATAAGGGAAGTGGACTTTGGTAGTCCTTTGGTTCTGGTCAGACTCTTCTACACTTTTGTATCATATACTATGTGTGAAATTTAAACTTAGTCAACAGATCCTCTGCAGAAGACTTCAGCCTGACCCCTAATTTGCTGAGGTGAAGAAACTTAGAAGCTAAGAACGGTTAATAAATGCTGGCAAGTAAAAAGGAAGAGAAGGAAAGGAAATAAAGCTGGTTTGCTCTGGTGCCTAAAAAAGCAATGTTCAAATATTAGCACATAATTTCACATTCAAATTGAGTTGAAACTATGAAATATGACAAAAATAAGATTCATGACCTATACAACTGTAGACTAGGACTGTAGAGCCGACCTTCTTAAAATTACTATATAAAAGTTATATCAGATATACACATATCAAACCAAATATATACACTCATACATGCAACATAATTGCTAATAATAGGGTTTAAATACAGCTCTAGAAGCTTCAATGTGACCCTATGGCTTGATTAATAAAGATATTGAATGATCAGATACACATGCAATAGAGTATGTATTTACTTTGAAATAGTTTTAAATATTTTTATTAAAACCCTAAAAGGTTAAATTCAGCACATTGTCTGATCCTGATGCTTTTGCTCTCTAAATTGGTTATATCATCCATACTTTGTAACATAGAACATGTGATTAAGAAAGCACTGGTAATGGAATGTCTTGGGATTTCTTGCACTTAGGCTTCTTCCCCTGGGTTTCATCTTTCATTACCTGCAATGGTACAGTGCAAAAGGGCAAAAGACTTGGAGTCAGAGGATTTGGGTATGTGTCTTGACTTGGTCATTTGCTAACAGCATAACCATGGCAAGTCACTTATATCTTACTGAGCTTCAGCTTCCTTCTCTATGAAATAGGATGTTAAGACCTATTTCATGGGGTTGTTGTGAGCTTAAATGATGTAAACATTCAGTAACTTTTAAAGCGCAGTGTAAATCATTAGTTACTATAATCATAGTACTAGTGTATTACTTGTATTTATGTGTGTATAAAGGACTAAGTCCTATGTCATGTCAGCGGGCAGCTCTAAGCTTTGCAACAATCAGAGCTGCCAGTTGCTGAGCATCTGATGTGTGAGGATTCTTCTCCATCACTGCAAGAACAATGTTAGAAGGGAAAATATTGCAAAGGTTCTTGTAGGTCTGGTATTGGTGCTCTGGAATCATATTCTCCCTTGAATCATTACACATTCCGACCCAAGGACTCCTCCAAAGCTGCTCCATCTTTTCAGGCATGCTCCGTACCATGACTGGCTCATAACACGGCTGCATGAGGCTGTTACTTAAGGGGCAGGAGTGATAGCCATAGGAGTCAGTTGCACTGGGCAGAGGGTCCCAGCTGGCGTGCTGTTCTCGGCATAGAGGAGGTCGTCTTTGTCTCAAAGGGTTGCTCTCATAGAGTCGGGAATCAGAAATGCTGTCCATCCGCGTCATTACTAGGGCACGGCCTGGCTGGGAGGTTGCCCCAGGATGAATATTAGGAGGCATGGCGTAGTCTCCAGGACAGCTGGAGCGTGCTCCAGTTGCTGAGTGCTGGACATGCAAAGCTAAGTGGGGAACTGACTGCTTGTGGTGGCCTTGCTTGGAATCTTCTGGGCCATAACTCTGCACTCTAGTTAAGGCTTCATGGTAACCATGAGTAAAAGGCTGAAGACGGTTCTGAGATGCTGAGCGGTGCAGCTTCAAACTGCCTTCTGGATGGGCATCCGCTACAGCCAAGTACAAATTGTTGTAAGAGGAATAGCTGTCGTTCCTGGTATGGCTCATAAGACTGTCAGGACAGAAGTTGGGATTCCGACCATACATGCCTCGATCTGCTTCAGCCATGTAGTACTCTCTATTATGCATGCTGTTGATGTTCAGTTTGGAGAAGTCTCCTAACACCGAATAGTAGCTATGGTCCCCCATTGACTCAAACTTTGGGTATTGCTCAGTATAGTTAACTGGGGTCCCATGGCTGTTGGTAACCAGGATAGGGGGATACTGCATGCTGGCCATGTGCTCCAATGAGGCCTTCTGATGGGGGAAATGGGAGGATCCTGGCACTGGGCTGCTGGCCGAACGGGTGTTTAGTGCACCCACTGCATGGCTTTTGAGGGGTGGGATTGTGGGGACACTTAGGGCAGTCACAAGTGATGGGACAGAGCTGGCCTCAGGCTTACGGGCAATGGACAGCCATTCCTCAGGCTCCACAGCCACCGACCGGATGCTGGGATCTGACTGGCGCTTGGGTGCCACACGTTTTACCTCTGAGGTTATCTCACCTTTGACACTAGACATCCCTGTCCCACACTTGGCCAGGGGGCCTTCGCTCATGGTTTTCACTGTGGACAGTTTGGCACTGATGCGGAGCTCATCAGCCACCGAACGCTGGGGTTGGTTGGCCCGCTCCGGATGGTAGTATTTGCACTTGTGGCCGTAGGTGCATTTTTTGCCTGAAAAATAATGCCTTGGGGTAAGACTCTCTCTCATAGTGGTATAAGGCTCTGTGCCAGAAACGGTTGTAACAATCTGGTCACAGAAGTTAAGATTTTACTGTTTGACAATGAGATAGAAAATTAACTATCCACAAAGATGAGAGACAGACAACACCAAGGAGGCATCACACACTGTGAGGGGAGAGGGAAGGAGTAGAAAGTTGGGGAGGAAATTGCAGTGTAAACACTAAGAACTGAGCAATTGAACAGCCCTAATTTTTCTGGTAATGCACATACCTCGGCATAGAATAACTGAGGCAGCCCAGAGTAACAGATGGCAGCGAGGTGCAATGTAAACAGCACAGGCTTGGAGACCAGTCAGACCTGAGTTTCAGTTCCAGCTGTATCCCTTACTGGCTATGTGACCTGGGTAAGTGACTATTTTCTGAGCCTTATTTTTTTTCTTCTATAAAAAAGCTTTGTAATCATGTGTATATTTTAGGGTCATTGTAAAGATGAAATGAGATAACAAACATGAGAGTATTCTGTAATTTACCATTCATAGAAGACAAAATCCAAAATGACCCTCCCCAGATACAACCACAAATGATAATCCATAATAGTTTCAAGCTAAATAGCCCATGTTGCCCTGTTAGTCCTATAAACTCAGGACTTGGGTAAGAGGACTAATTCAGTGTACAAAACTGTATTTATAAAAAATAGGAAATGAAACTTGGAGGTAACTAGAAAGTACAGATGAGAAGAAAAGGGTATTACTAGATGACTAAAGGAATAGTCACCTGCCTGACATGCTGTTGTTGGAACCAAACCCAGTCTGTCATTCCCTTTCTATTTTCATAGGTGAGACAAGTTTATTCATTCCCCTATTCCAAGCAATACTGCTTAGGCAGTTAGAGCCTGTGTGTTATTTTAAGTGACAACTGCTCTTCCCTTCAGTTTTAGTTACATTTTTCTCATGCAATTTCTAAGATTTTTCTTTAAATACCTACCTGAGAGTACACACAGATACAAACTTTACCTCATAGAAAGGAAACAGGCTAGGATTTCCCCTTTGAAAGCAAAATCTGGAAAAGAAAAGTATTCAGAGTCCTTATGTTTCCCTTAGTACAGAACTCAGTTCTGCATGTAGGTACTCACCATAAGGACATGGTTGCTTCTTATGCTCAGGAACAATGGGTCTTTTTCTTAAGAAATTTTCAAGGCTTGGGCCATGGCGTCCTAAAGGATCATCTGGAGGCATAAATCTGAAAGCAAGCAAGCAAGGGTGAATGTCTTCCCATATGTTCCTTTTCTAGAAGTTAAGACCTTCATTGCCTCTTGTTTACTATTGTTACAGACTTCTCATTGCCCTCCTGCCTCAAATCTATCTTCTACTAATCCATAATTTCTTCCTTTTGTTCCTACTTGATCATGTAGATAGGTTGATTTTTCCCCTCTGTATTATTCTTTTATAGATTATGTTATAGCCATCCTGGCATTCTTGCTTAGTTTCCTCAATATACCACTCCCTTTCATACCTTCATAGCTTTCTTCACAATGTCACCTTCACCTGTCATGCCCAGAAGCCTTCTTTGTTCTGTAAACTTCATTTCAAATGTCATTACCTTTATGAGGATTTTAACACTTCATGTAGACAAAGCAATTAAAAATACATTAACTATAGTGCACATTCAATACATTGTGGTTGTCTCTCCTTTCCACCACGCTTTGAGGTCCTTCAGAATGAGTTTCTGGTTTTTATTTGTTTTTGAAACAAGGTCTTGCTATGTAGTTCAAGCTGCCATTAAACTCACTTATGTATCTCAGGCTGGCCTCAAACTCACAGCAATCCTCCTGCCTCCACTTCCTGAGTGCTGTGATTATAGGCATGTGCCATCATGCTCAGGGAGACTGAGTTTCTTATTCAATTTTTATTGGCATGACAACCAGCTTAATGCATGTTCCAAACTAAGAATTCAGTAAAATGTTTAGCGAAATGAAATGAAATCTACTCCTACTAAGACTTGGATATAGGCGGTTCAGAGCCTACTGGAAAGAAACGCACTTGTCATTCACAAAAGAATACATCAGCAATCGCTCCTCAATAAACTTCTTCCATTCTGGCTTTTCGACTTGAAGATCTCGGTAGTTGTCATTGGACACAATGATGCCATCAGAATCGAAAGCTAATTTGACTATAAAACGATCGTCATAGCAAACAACCCTTCTGCCCTGGACCCTTCGGGATGGTGTGAAGACAAGAATCTTTTCCTTCTCCAGTTTACGAAGAACATCTTGATCTGTGAAAATATGATTGTATGGCACAGAATAGAAGTCATCAAGTGACACCATTATCTTCAAACTACAAATACAAAAGTTAATTCTAGATAAATTTGTTATTTGTCCTTAAGGAGCAAGTGGGCTCTACTCCCAGCTATAACATCAAATTGCTTTGTGACATCAGGCAAGTAACATCCTTCCTACTTTAGTTCTTTTCAACAAATGAAGGAATTTGTATAAGTATGTCTATATATATATATATATGTATTATCTACAGTGCAAAGTGAAAAATGATACTGATAGCCTAGCATTTTGACTTTCGTTTGCCCTTTGGCTGAAACATCAACTCTTTTTTTTGTTTGCTTTGCTTTCCCTTCCTTCTATCTTTTCTTTCTTTGCAGTTTTAGGAAGTGCTCTACCACTGAGCTACATCCTCAACATAAACAACAGATTTTTGGCTTTGGAACAAAACAGGACAGTATTTGGTTTTTTTGTCAGGAGGAGAGTAAAACATCACCCCTAAGACTGATACTTTGGGCTTCTGCTTGAAGGAATGCCAAAACTAAAGTGGAACATCAAGGTATAACCGTTGGATATGGAATTACTTCCTTTTTGACCTCCTAACTGCCTGAGGAGAGAAAGTTTGCTGGCTGGGCTTCAGCAGGGCCAGCATCTACTCTTAAGACTGAGACTGAGGACCCTGTTCAGCATATGATGGATCCATACAAAGCTCAGATGGCCACACACTAGACTTTAGCACTAGGCAGATCAAGCAAGAGTAGATATTTAGAGGATTGGGGTCTATATGCTCTCAAACGCTTTCAAAGAACATATGTTACATGTACAATTACAAGTGAATACAATGACTCTTACTGCCATTAGGAAGAGCACATCATGATTTTTGCACACCTTAGGTACTTCTGCCTTCATTAACTTTCTCCATAGTAGAATATTAAAAAAATTCATTTTAGAAATTACATTGGTATAAAGTGAAATATAATCTGAATTATTATACATTAGTATGCATGCATTGTATTCTATTCAATTTTTCTTTTAATGTGAGACGAAAATAAAAACATTTTGTGGGACTGTAAACATGTCATCATCCCTAGGCACTGAGCCTACTGTGTTACATGGATAAGTTGCTTAGGACTGTCCTGGGACTTTTTCTCTTCCATTTGCTAATTTGAAATACCACAAGCACACCTACAGTTCGGAATAATACTCATTTTCTACCATGGTTTCTTTAGTGTCTTGAAAAACTGAATCAGGTTTATAACTTGATTCAACTCCTTATAGTATAAAGACTATAGTCAAATAAAGTCCTTTTTATCTTTTGCTAAATTGAGGTGGTCTCTTATCAGATTCTAGAAAACAATGTTGAAAATCCACTTAATAAAAGACATTTTTGTATTTTAGTATATGTTCTGCCAAAGTGAGTACTAAATCTCACTATGCGGCTTGGACTCATAGTGATCTTCCTGTTTTCAGCTTCCCCAGTGCTGGGATTACAGGCCTGTGCTACCACACCTGGGCTCTGTGGCTAGCTCAGTACACCCCTGGGTGGGGCCAGTGTGGCATGTGGTGCTGGGGATTGAACCCCTGTCCCCGTGCTTGCCTAAGCAGGTGCTTAGTTCACTGAGCGATCTCGCTGGCCCTAGACATTTTAAGTGTACTTAACAACTTAATAAAATAATTACACGATTGAGACTATGGCACCCTCTCCAAACTGTTTTCCTAACTTTGAGTCTAAATAACAGAAAATGTATCATTTGAAATAATACCTGTAATTGGAGCATCAGGCCGGGATTGCTCCTTTCTCCATGCAGGTACAAATACGGTGATATCTTTATGACCTTTCTCTAGAAACCAATCCACAGCAAGTTGTATTCCTCTGCAGGAGAATTCTTCCTTATTTCCATGGCTTTAGAAAAATAGGGAATAAGAGGCAAGCGGATTAACAACAGATAGCAAAAACTATACCCCCAAACAGGCCTTTTATAGTACCAAGGGATTAACAACATTCCCTTTCTTTAAAAAAAATTATTTTAAAAAGTGAAAAAAATAAAGACAAACATAGTAATATACAACAATACATATGGTACAGATTTGGGGAATAGCAAATTAACAGTGTTGTTCTATTACGTATTTTTATCATCAAATCTCAGATGAACAGATACAGGTATGCAAGATTGAACAAGTAATTGAACATTAATGCTTGATTTCAATAAACCTTAATTTTTCTTGTTCTTACTATTTTATTTTAGAATTATATATTAAAGAGACTATAATAATTGATAAGACATAAGAAATGTTACACAATTAGAAGAACCAGATGAGAGGTATTCAACCGTGGTTTTTGTATTGCACATTGCTGTCATGAGTGTAGTTGCTCAGGTTACAGATATTAGCATATAAAGTTAGCCAAAGTGAAAATTTTAAACATTAACTGCTATTTTCAAATAATTGGTAGAGTACAATCATGCCAGCTATCCTGTATGCTGCATGATTTTTGCTCCTTTATTTCCTTTCCCTCATCTTCATTGTTTATTCCTTATGTTGTTTCTTTCCATTTAATGTATCTATTATACCTTTAAGATTTTACCTATTCTTTCAGGTTCTTATGCTACAGAGAAAATAAAATATTTACACATGTGGGTCTGATTTATTCCATTTATAAGTATAGCCTCTAGTTGCATCCATTTGCCTATAAAGGCCTCAAGTTTGTCTTTATACCTGAATAATAATTGTATAAAAATACTGTATCTTTTTTTATCCATTTCTCAGATTATGGGCATTTTGGTTGCTTCCAAGATTTGGCTATGCCAAATTGTGCTGCTATAAACATGGGTGCACATATATCATTGTGGTATGATGGTTTCACTTCTTTTGGAAAAATACCCAGAAGGGGAATAGCTGGATTGAATGGGATTTCCAGTCCTAGTGTTTTGAGGACTCTTCACACTGATTTCCATAGTGGTTGTACCAGTCTACATTCCAGCAGTGGAGAAGGTTTCCTTTGCCCTCACAGCTTCTTGATTTCTTTATGACAGCCATCCTTTCTGGGGTGAGATGGTAAAGAATGCATTTTTAAAAGGTAAATAAAATTCCTTTTATTCAATTTTTGAAAATATTCCCATTATAAATTTTACTGAAGGCCACAGGTGACTGATTACAACTCCCATCTCATAGCTGCAAAGGTAATTACTTTCTGTTATTAGTTTCATTTTCTCTATTAGTTTCTATTTCTCCTGCTATATTTTCAGAGATTCAGATATTCATAACAGATGAAAAAAGAGGTTTTACCAGAAGTTTAAATAAAGTTTACATGCAGCTATAATGAGAGATGAAACTTAAACATATATTAAGCTTCAAAAATAATATCGACAGGGCCGGGGAGATGGCTCAGTAGAATAAGTGCTTCCCTGGCAAG